AATACAGAAGGACACAGAACACGAACACAGAAAACTCGAAATCAGGGTAATTTCTCAGAACCATTTCGCACTTACCGCGCCCATATGTGCCAGTGCCGGTAACCCCTGCTATAGCGCCTGGGGAGAGGGTGTATGTTCGTTTTGTTGCTATGAAAGACTTCTACTTTTGCAATTAATGACTACAAAGCTCTTTGCTTAAAGCAATCAACATCAGAATTCTGCCCAGCATAAAAACAAAATGTACAACGAACATTAAACTTAAACTACAAGTGACAGTACATAAAATTACTCTCAAACTCGCAGGTAATGACATTTTTAAGTACCCTGTCACCATATTGGAGAGAAGGTGGGAAACTATAAAACAATTTCTATGGTTAAATTGATGGGATTTTTAGTGTCCCCTTTACTATACAGTATACTATACTATACTATACTATACTATACTATACTATACTATACTATACTATACTACATCTTTGAAGCAAAGTGCACCATAATAAATTATTATTATTATCTGCTTTCAACTAAAATCATCATAACTTTGCTTGCTTCTTTTGGATGTTGGACCCATATTAGGTTGCCCATTTTAATTGATAAAAGTCCAGAAAGTGGGTGGTTGGTGGATGCTCTGGGGTGGTTTGTTCCTCCTTTCCTATAAAACTTCTATCGTCTTTAATCTCTCCTCCTGCTTTTTTGTGTCTGTTACTCTCTTGTAACACCTCTTATCTTTGGCACTTATATGACCTTATACTTACTGTGTTGCAAGTGCCATAAATCTCATCATCATCATCCGGTGCCTTGCCGACTGGCGTGGGCGATCATGGACCTCCACTTCCATCTGTCTTTCGAAGCAGCAATGGTGTCTGTTGTTCTTGCTGCTCCCAGCCATGTTGTCATCTTGTCCAGTATCTTTTCCCTCTGTCTGCCTCTACCTCTCTTTCCATCAAACTTTCCTGTTGTTACAATGTTCTCTAATGCTTCTTTCCGCATTGTGTGTCCGAAAAAATTTGCCTGTCGTTTTCTTATATTCGTGATAAGTTCTTTTCTATAATTTGCTTCAACCAGGACTTCTTCATTTGTTTTTCTAGCTGTCCATGGGATACGTAGCATGCGTCTCATGAACCACAACTCTGCCGCAACAATTGTTTTTTCCAGCTGTTTATTGATTGTCCATGCTTCAATCTCAGACTAAAACGAAAATAGACGTTGGACTTGTAGTATCAAGTTGCCCAGTTTCAGATTCATCGATACAAGTTTAGAAACAAGTAATTCGCTTCGACTCAACAAAAACTGACCTTCAGCAATACCCTTTAGCTCCCCGTCTTTTTACTTTTGTGTGAGTAAAAAAGGTGCACATCAACACAATTATGGTTATCTGGTGCATGGAAAGAGAGAGGGAGAGAATAGAAGTAGAACATACTAGTACTAGTGATGCCCTCCAACCATCCGTCGGTCTTGAGCAGTTGTTCAAATGCATTTTAAAGATGTACACAGAAGACTGGAAGAAAATGCTGAGAGACGAAAAAATGATCGTGTTCTTAAACTGAAACATATATGGCATAAGTATGAACAAAAACACCGTAAATGAAAACAAAAAGCCAAAATATCAATGCTACTTTTTTCTGATTAATGTAACTAATATTTCTGTTGATTAGTTGGATCCATTTGCATTTCAAACAGCAGAAATAGTTTTTCTCAACACAAATGATGCGTCTAACACAACAATTTGAGAAGAAAAAAACCCACAATGTACACAGAACGATGAAAATATAGTGTCTGCTGTTTCAAACAAATCTAAATGCTTTTTAATCCAAATTAAAAACGCCTTGGCCTAAAACCATGCGTTACAACTAAACTAAAGACCTATGTGTAAAATTGTTGAAAAAAAAAATGAAACATGTACAATGAAAAAGTATTGGCAGGTAAGAAGAGCATTTGTAAGAGATGACATGCCTAGGTGCCTAAACTCCTTGCTGGTTCATAGAACCCTACTTCTGTCTACCAAGAGTCTTTCACAACTACTATTAGCAGCCATACATGAACAAAAAATGGTGTACTATATTTACAGAAAGACAATGAATCTTAGAGAAAAACACTTTAAAACATTGACAATGATCAGACTGATTATTGAAAAAAAAATAAATCTTTCAGAACATTTTGGCCAAAAGGAACATTTATTTCACATGTATAATATATATATCATGAGTGTTAACAGCAAGAGCCTTGGCCATTTATCAAATATCACATGAGAGTGAGATAGTTCAGCATGCTTCGCATTCAATTAAAAAAATTCATAATGAATTGATTTGATTTGTGAGAGTAAAAAAGACGGCTGTTTAGAATGGTTCTTTTTCACTTGGATTAATGATATACAGTTGGGCCCAGATAACACGAGTATGGAAAGCTTGAATTCAAGGACAGCTCGCACAATTTGCCATTCCTCGACTGATATCTCTTTAATATTTGGCTATGCTGTTTACCCGAACTATGGATGTGTTGAACACATTTGTCAATCTCCGAAGTGTTTGAGTAATCCATGTTCAACTGTACATATGTACGAGAGAAATGTCTATCATTCTGTGTCACTTGTTGAGAAAAAGGCTGTTCAGGTGCACTCCAGAACCACATTATGATAGTTATGAGGGTGTGGATTGGAGGCATAAGAAGTCTGATACAAAGACGAGACTTGTAATAAATGTCAACAATTATAATCATGATGTTCAAATGCATTATGATAGGATCCTAATCTTTCTGACTCAACATTAGCGCCAAGTCCACTCAACTATTGTAATTGTAACATTTTACGCCCCATTGACACAATTTAGCTTATTTAGGAAATTAGGGAGTAGGCTGCTTCAAGCCTATCTGTCAGTGCCAACCTGTTTGAGTGGGAATAAACTTCCTCACTTGAGAATCTAACCCACCTCTTTTGTTCACAAAAGCGAAGAGCCTAAGTGTTACACCACAGACACTAGTCTAAAAATTCACGAGCAGGAAAACATCAAACAGGACGACAGAAAAATCCACAACTGATGAAAAATGTACTTGATGTACCCACAATGTACAGACTTCTGTCACATCCAGGACAAGCATGCATTTCATTCAGCAGAGTAAGCAGTTTCACTACCCTCTTTGTTTATTTGTTTGTCTGAGTAAAGAGCAGCACATCGACACAATTATGGTCAATATAGTGTTGAGAAAAAGTAAGGCAGACAGACAGAGAGAAGCAATAGAGGGGAAATTAAAGAAGTAGGACCAACCAGTGGCTCCCTTCACCCACCCCCTTTCATTCATCACATAATCAATTTGTTGGAATGACAAACAGAAGAAGATTGTGTTTTTATTTCTACAGTTTCACCGCAGTACTAACACCATTTGCTTCAAATTTCAAAGTACAACAATGAACTTCAAGCCAAGAAAGGCCTTCAAATTCACAAAGACATCTTGACTGCCTTGTGTAAGACTTCCCTGTTCGTCATTTTGAAAAGTGATGTATGATGAGGACTTCCACCAGCAGCCAATCTCAATTAAGTATTAATTTGTAAAGCCTTCCATTTCAAACAGCTTGACCAAGTGTGCAACATCCGAGGTCATTGTGGGGTCGCAATGATCATCATCATCATTATGACTCATGTAGACCACCCCTACTTTACATAGGAGAAGGAGAATCTCTCAAAGAAGATCTGTCTTTTTCTGTTGTCCATTTTGGTTTCATAATCTCTGTTTTATTTCTATCACAATTCTGATTCAGCTTAACCAGAAACAAATTTTACACAGATCTATTTACAATTCCTTAGCACTAGCACAAGCAAATATCATTAATTGTTATGCACTAAAAGTAAAATGAGTACTGGTTAAATACAATTTGTGTTGAGCGTATACCACTCTAAGTAAGCATTGTTCTAATGGTCCACTGAAAAAGCATATAGCTGAAGTCGAAATCCCTTTTGACTTTTCAAAAACATTCAGCATGTCAGAGATTTGACCAGAGTCACAGCACAATGGTGCATGCATACTGCCGCAGAAGAGAAGCACAGCCCCCCCCCCCCCCCCCCCCCCTCCATCAAACTACAGTTACAGCCATCTGTATAAGACATTCACTTGTACAAATGGAGTTATTCCATTTTCTATGTAACAACATTGCCAAAAAAAATAACAAGTCCAACGCTGCCGTGGTCATTATATTATATATAAAATCAAATAACACTAACAGTCCCAAAAACTTATATATATATATATTTATAACTGCCTGGTGCGATGCTACAAATTATTTATCGACCCCAGTCACTGTGGACAAGCCGTCACAATCCATTTGACCGTTGTCATGGTAGTCGTCCACCAATGAATGAACCAATCGCAGACCAGGGTGCTACGAAAGCAATGTTTTTCGTCCCTCCCACTGTTAACCCCTGAAGGTAATATTCTAACACTTTGCAGCCACACAGCCAGCAGTACAAAATGCCCCATCTGGTCACCCAGCCAGGACAGTGACTGCAACAGACTTTTCGGGCCTGTTGCAGAACTGCGTCAAGTGACCAGAGCGGATAATTTTCACCATTTGTTAATGCGGCAACTGACCATAAAACGTTAATGTGCCTTACACTTAAGCAGTCCTAAGCCTGAGACCCCAGAAGGTGACCTAGAAGAGCCTGTTTCACCACAGGCATTGGTAGAGACTCCGAGAAAAGAATGCAAGAGACATGAAGCTGACCTTGCAAAGAAACCCCTGTCATAGTAAGAGTTTTACGGCACTTGCGACACAATTAGGTCACAAAAGTGGTGAAGATTAGAGGTGTTACAAGAGAGTATCATACACACAAAAAAAGGGAAGAGAGATATGAACAATAGATGCTTGATGGGAAAAAAAAGAGCAAACTACACCAGAGAACCCGCCAACCACCCACTAGAAACGCTGAGGGGTACAGTTGCTCCGCTTCATAGGATGTTCAAATATATAGGCCCTATCTATATATATTTATCATTTTAAACAAATAAATCTCTTTTTTTTCTTCAGATTTATACTTTTACGTTCACGTTCTTCATGTGCCAGATTTGAAACAGACATTGGCGATCATGGTTTGCCACTCGTGTCTCTCTTTCACTTTCACAAAAGGAAAATCAATTTTCTTAATGATTCTATGACAAGAAAAAACGACTTGACAAATCCATCTACAAAGTCACATCGATTACACAAAAAGTCATTGCTGCTGTTACATTGTTACATAACTGTAATTCAGACAGTAACATTTCATCTTCGCAGTCTCAATAGAGAATGAAAAAGAATAAAACTCAAACGAGTTCTCAAAAGAACCACACATTTGACATTACGTACACAGATATGAATATAATGAGCCTCACTTTAAAATAAAATACAATCACACTGAATGTAGTTACATTAAAAGATCATACATCTATCAAAGACAAACCTCTCCTCTTCCCCTAACTATAATGAATTGACGAGTAACAGTTACTTTAACCATGATAGAACAAACAGATTACCTTATTTATATGTGCATTGCTAGTACAGCCTGAAAATATCACAATAAAATATTCAGACTAAAACAAGTTTGCATCAAAGTTACAGTGGTAATTACACAATTATTTCCGAGCAAGGAACATAAAACAAAAACAATATTCTTTTCTTTCACACCAAACTTCCCCATTTCAGTAATTTCACACACACACACAAAAATTGCAGTCACAAAATTCCTTTCATGGAAGGGACTTCCCAAATACAAGAACATACAGAGAGACCCGATGAACATCACTTCAGTGTTTGTTCACCTTTTTTCCTGGCCATCAACAAGTAAAAACAAAGTTAAAAGAACAAAATACAAACACTAGTGTCTGCCTGAAGGCACAATAACTGAGGGGAGCCACAAACACACTTTTAAACGAAACCAAACACATCTTGAGAATCCATTCAGAATTGGAGCAATCGCTCGTACTTCTAGACGTCATTTAATCATCCCTCATTCCGCGAAGCATTTGAATGACTGCGTGTCAATTTTTCAACCGGCCGACCACGCATTTCGACCGCAAGGGGCTTCGTTTTCGTCGGCGATTTTCCAGCTCCTAATAATCGGACATATAAACAATTTACACCATTGTAACGAGGAAAAGCTGGAACTTTTACAAGGTGTACGGCATTTGGTATTTTATAGCGAAAGAGCAAAGAAACATCTATCGGAATTACTCCGATTTCACCGATACGACGCGGTCGGAAGGCCGCGAGTGCCCGCGAGGCCGTATTTACGCTACCTACTACATGTAAATTATCTAGAAAGAAGTCTGTATGTAGGACTTGTAATAAAGCCAAATCTTGTATAATTAATCAAGCGGACTGTTTGTGTGTTTAAAAAAAAATGATCATGCATGTTTAGGCAGAGACTATCGTCATTCACACTGTGGACCACATCAACACTTGCAGAAACAAATCTTTCACATACATATAGTTTTTTTTACTACCACAAATACTCATTTCCACGACACTTTTTATCTTTCTTTTCAAAAAAAACAAAACAAACATAATATGACATTGACTTCAGAGCAACAAAACTTAGTAATAAATTAGAAAAAGAGCTTTTCTATGTGCCGGTGGTAGAAGTTGGTCAAGAATATTTTGGATTGCGTCCAGGCGGCCAGAACTTGACTCCGCGCTGGGTGCCAGTAGGTGATGCACAGCTGGTCTCTCTGGCTGGCATTGCAGTGGAAGTCGATGGCAACGAGGAGGGCAATGATGAGGGCAAGGAATGAAAAGAGGACCAGCTTCACGCAAGAGCCGCCTTTCTTGCCTGAAATAAAAGAGTAAAAATAAAATAAAACAAACAAAAATAAAACGTAGTGAAATACAGTCAAAATATCCATGATGTCTTAGAGAAAAGCTGTTGTCTTAGACAGATGGATGTCTTGGACAGTGTCATTATTGTACAGAAAAAAATGCAAGGGGGGGGGGGGGGATTGAGGAGTGGGAAGTAACCATTTGTACAGTTGTTGTCTTGGACAGGTTGCTGTTAGAGCATGTTCAACTGGTTTACTTTGGATCAAGGAAGTTTTTTTTCTTCTTGGGTTTAAGTTTCACGAGATGCGAGCGCCGTAAAACACTTACAAAAAAAAAGTTTCAATGCATTTACAAACTTAATTAGGTCAAATATGCGCAAACGATTACAGGTATTACTGCTCTACAGAGTAACAAACTCTGATGGGAATGAAGGAGCAAACCACATCAGAGTGTCCACCAACCACCCACTCAGTAAACAGAAGTGTATCAATACAATATTGGTCATTGAGGTTGTGGGCAACCGTTTTTCCCAGAAGTAAAAAAAAAAATAACACACCATAACAAGTTCTACAACTTACCTTTGCCCCGTTTCCCTGCTTTATGGCTTCCATTATATTTTTGTTTTTCTGAAACAAAAGAAAGACGCAAAATAAAGACTTTGTGTTTACACTGAGCAGGACTCGAAAACATTGGAGAGAAAAAACCACCCTCAAACAAACAATAACTTTCTGTTTGACTATTACGGCACTTGCAATCCAGGTCATATAAGTCTGTCCTCAGAGAAATCCCTGCCTGCAACCCGCAAGTTGCGCGCGCAACTTTTGCCATTTTCGTGAATTCGCGAATTTTAGCCAATTTTCCGCAAAAGTTGGAAAAATAATAAAATTTTGTTAAAAACACTGAAACTTTCTTCCACGACTAAAAATAACGACGCCAAGAGGGACAATTCGCTCCTTTGCACTACAGGGTGCCCGCTGAGGATGAGATCGGGGCGGGTCTGGTCGGGTCAGGATGATTAGTATTAACTAAGAACGGTAAGCACGGCATTGTGGCGATACAGTACGTGGGTCCTGGAGTGGCAAGCACGATAATGCCTTTTCGCACTTCATACATTGGTACTATATGCAACACGACATGTAGATCTAGTCTAATTTTGATTACACCGGTGTGGTTAAAGTGGTAAAGTGATCTAACAAAACATGTTGGCTACTTTGATTGCAATGAGCATACCAATAATGTATTCTAATAGTTCCATGTCATTTTTTTAGCTATACACGTCTTGCAACTTTTCTTGCAAATTTTGCTAATTTTTCTTGCAACTTTTTGCAACTTCTGCTATTTTCAAATGCAATTTTCTCTGGGGACAAAGTGCAGAAGATTAAAAGCAATATAAGACAGTAGCACACACAAAACAGAAAGAGGAAAGATAAGGTCAGCAGATGTTTGATAGGAAGGAAAGAGCAAATCACACCAGAGCACCTGCCAATCACCCACACAAACAAGAATGAGCTCTCATTCAAATTCTTCTCTAGCATCAACACCGCCACACTCAAGGAAGTCAGAAGAAAGGGGAAAATACATAAAGGATGACATACTCATCTTCGGTCCTACCATATCAATAGGAATGGAATGGAAGGGGAAAAGTGCATAAAAGATCATATATTCATTTTCTTCAATCTTACCATGTCAATAGGAATATAACAATTGTTGCCATAGTTCTCTTTCAGCCACATAGCTGCAAACTTTTCATAACCAAACAAAAAACTCTGCCTACATCACCAGTCATTATGAAGGGCATTGGCCAGGAGAGAATTCCTCTGTGAACTTCTACACTCAATAAATTCATGTTTTAATTTTTTTTGCAAATCTGGTCGTGAAAGTTCATTATATAGTTTTCTTAAGCACTGGCAAGGTACGTAAGGAGCAATACTAGAAAGCAGAGGACGTATTTTTCAAACACGAAAACTAAAAGATGATACAACTTCGTTACCTCTTTCCCTGTTGATGTCTTCGTCTGAGGTGTCCCCACTCTGGGCTAATATCTCCTGTTCTCTCCTCACTTCATGTTCCCGTCGACGGCGTTCTTTTTCCGCCTTCTTCTCTTGCCGCTTCTTCTGTTTTTCCTTCTCTTCTAATTCTTTCTGCCTCGCTTCATCCTCTGTGACAAAAAAACAACAACAAAAAACAATCATTTGAGAAAGAGAAAAAAAAAAAAAAAAAAAAAACCCAGTTACCTTTTCAGGGGTTTTTCAAAGAAAAGTAAAAAAACGAAAACAGAATACGGATCCATTTTGAAAGGAAACAGAACATTTTTAAAAAAATATAGTAGAGGGTTTTACGGCGCTCGCAACTGCATAAGGTCATATGAGTGCCAAGGGGTGGGTGTCAACAGAGAAGTCTTTACGGGAAAATAGACTTATTCTGCTCACCTCTCCAGCTTCAACAGCACAAGGTCTGCTTCGACTATCAAGGCACCCCGGAAATAGCAAGTCACAAGAGAGTGACAAACATACAAAAGAAGTAGAGGAAAATGACAATAGTAAGGATTAAGAAAGAATAAGCAGCAGTTCCCTGTTGTAGATCAGGCACAGTTATGAGCGTGACATGAATCAGCCCATTTAAAATTCTACTGTGCTTGAAAGAGAAATGTCCCCCCTTTGGGAATGGCCTAAAGACACTACAGTCAGTCGCACTGCCCCAGGGGTTTGAAGCAGAAAAGGAGACTGAGAACAAAATAAGCAGAAGCAAAAGAGTGCATAAAAGGGGGCCCATACATTTATTCCATAACATCACTTAGAGGCTATATGATGTAAGCAAAGGTGGTCACACACACACACACAGGCACACACACACACACACACACACACACACACACACACACACAAACAAACACAAACACACACACACACACACACACATCTAGTAGTAGTAGTGAGTAGTGATGATTTTACGTAGAGCACAGTTTGCACTGGTATTTTCCAAGCTCCTTCCCCATAGATCTATATACAGAATCTAGATCTAGATTCTAGAATCTATCTAATCTAGCAGAGACAAGACTGACAAGAGACAGAGAGTGGGAGGGTGACCGGCCGGCATACGTTTAAATCCAGATCAAAATCGAATGCGTTCTTACCAGCTCCTTTACTGGAACAACCTCTAAATTGCTCATACTAAGATCTAATTCATTTCCGTCAAGTTTATCTCTCAAAGAATCCTTAGGCATTTTTATTTGCTGTTGGTGGTGACAACGTCCCTTCTTACTGTGTTTTCTACCAAAATGTGCACTTTATTGACACGTCCACAAAACCGGAAGCGATAGCCGCGCAAGTGTCTCCGTAGACTGCACTGTTGTTTTGACCAGAGAACATCGAAGTGGACTTTGGCCACGGGTTGAATAAACATGATAATATTATTATGAAGTCGGTTTATTATTATATACGAACGCACTCATAATATTATCAGCAAAGTAAAATAAAAGTATTATCATTAGAGAAAAAGATTTAGATCTAGATCTTATTTAGGCTTATAGGCCTATTAGACAATTTAATTTGAGAAAATGTCTTTTTTATAACATTATTCAATATGCACTCCAATCTTAGCGTCAATGTAAGCCAAAACAAAACTAACAATAAGAGATAAATGTAGGCGTACAGGAAGTGTTGTGTCTATTTGCAAATGGACTGGGAAACTAAAATTAATGTAAAAGATAGCTCGGGAAACCAAAATAAAAAAGGATAGCTATCTGAGAAAAAAAATTAAAAGAATTGCTCTGGGTAACTAAAATGGAAAGGATAGCTCTGGGAAACCAAAATGAAAAGGATATCGCTGTGAATAAAAATAAAACGGATAGCTCTATGAGATCAAAATGTAAAAAATAGCTCTGGGGAACCAAAATGAAAAGGATAGATGTGGGAAACTAAAATAAAAAGGATTGCCTCTAGGAAACTAAAATGAAAATTATAGTTCCGGGAAACCAAAATGAAAAGGTTATCTATGGGAAATCAAAATAAAAAGGACAGCTCTGAGAAATCGAAATGAAAAGGATAGCTCTGGGAAATCAAAATGAAAAGGATAACTTTGGGAATCCAAAATGAAAAGGGTATAGCTCTATGAAACAAAAAGGAAAAAGATAACTCTGGGAAATCAATGTGTAAAGAATAGCTCTGGGAAAGCAAAATGAAAAGGACAGCGTTGGAAAACAGAAATGAAAAGGAAAGCTCTGAAAAATCAAAAGTGAAAAGGATAGCTCTGAGAAAACGAAATAAAAAGGATAGCTCTCTGAAACCAGAATGTAAAGGATAGCTCTGGGAAATCAAAATGTAATTAAGGATAGGTCTTCGAAACCCAAATGAAAAGGATAGCTCTGAAATATTAGAATAAAAAGGATGGCTCTTGGAAATCAAAATGAAATGGATAGCTCTGGAAAACGAAAATCAAAATGATAGCTCTTTGAAACAAAAAGAAATGAAAAGGATTGCTCTGGGAAACTAAAATGAAAATTATAACCATCGGAAACAAATAATATGAGAGGGATATTTCTCGGAAACCAAAATAAAAAAGATAGCTCTGGGAAATTAAAATGAAAAGGATAGTTTTTGGAAACAGAAATAAAAAGGATAGATCCGTGAAAGCAAAATGAAAAGTATAGCTCTCTGGAGTCAAAATGAAAAGGATAGCTTAGGGAATCAAACATGTAAATGAAAGCTCTGTGAAACCAAATGAAAAGGATAGCTCCTGGAAACAAAAATGAAAACAATAGCTCTCTGAAACAAAAATGAAAAGGATAGCTCTATGAAACCAAAATGAAAAGGATAACTCTGGGAAACTAAAAGGAAAAGGATAGCTCTGGGAAAGTCAAATGAAAGGGATTGCACTAGGAATCCAAAATGAAAAGGGTAGCTCTCAGAGAAAAAAACAAAACGAAAAGGATATCTGTGTGAAATCAAAATGTGAAAGATAGCTGTGATAAAACAAAATGAAAAGGATAGCGTTGGGAAACAGAAATGAAAAGGATAGCTCTCTGAAACCAAAATGAAAAGGATAGGGTTGGGTAACTAAAATGAAAAGAAAAGCTCTGGAAATCCAATGTAAAAAGGGTAGCTCTCTGAAACAGAAATGAAAAGTATAGCTCTGGGAAATAAAAATATAAAGGATAGAGTTGGGAAACTAAAATGAAAAGGATAGCTCTCTGAAACCAAAATGAAAAGGATAGGTCTGGGAAATCGAAATGTAAAGGATAGCTCTATGAAACCAAAATGAAAAGAATAACTCTGGAAAACTAAAATGAAACGGATAGCTCTGAGAAACCAAAATGAAAAGGATTGTTCTAGGAATCCAAAGTAAAAAGGGTAGTTCTATAAAAAAAAAAAAAATTAAAAGGATATCTCTGGGAAATCAAAATGTAAAGGATAGCGTTGGGAAACAGAAGTGAAAAGGATAGGGTTGAGAGACTAAAATGAAAAGGATAGCTCTGGAAATCCAAAATGGGAAGGTTAGCTCTCTGAAAAAAGAAATGAAAAGGATAGCTCTGGGAAATATAAATGTAAAGAGTATCTCCTGGAAATCAAAATGAAAAGGATAGAGTTGGGAAATTAAAATGAAAAGGACAGCTTTCTGAAACAAAAATGAAAAGGATAGCTCTACGAATCCAAAATGATCAGGGTAGCTGTCTGAAATAAAAATGAAAAGGATATGTCTTTGAATTCAAAATGTAAAGGATAGCTCTGGGAAACCAAAATGAAAAGGATACCTCTGTGAAACTAAAATGAAAAGGATAGCTCTCTGAAACCATAATGAAAAGCATAGCGTTGGGAAACTAAAATGAAAAGGATAGCTCGGGGAGACCAAAATGAAAATGATAACTCTTTGAAACTGAATTGAAAAGGATAGCTCAGGGAAACCAATATGAAAAAGAAAGCTCTCGGAAACTAAAACGAAAAGGATAGCTCTCTGAAACCAAAATGAAAAGGACCAGGTTGGTAAACTAAAATGAAAAGAATAGCTATGGGAGACCAAAATGAAAGGGATAGCTTTGTGAAACTAAAACGAAAAAGATAGCTCATGGAATCCAAAATGAAAAGGATAGCTCTGGGAAATCAAAATGTAAAGGATAGCTCTTTGAAACCAAAATGAAAAAAGAAAACTCAGGGAAACTCTAATGAAAAGGATAGCTCAGGGAAAGTCAGATGAAAAGGATTGCTCTAGGGATCCAAAATGAAAAGGGTAGCTCTCTGAAAAAAAAATGAAAAGGATATTTCTGGGAAATTAAAATGTAAAGGATAGCTGTGGTAAAACAAAATCAAAAGGATAGCGTTGGAAAACAGAAATGAAAACGATAGCTCTTTTAAATTATAAAGAAAAGGATAGCTCAGAGAAATGAAAATGAAAAGTATAACTCCTCTGGGAAACTAAAATGAAAAGGATAGCTCTGGGAAACAAAAATTCTAAGGATAGGGTTGGAAAAATAACATGAAAAGGACAGCTCAGGAAATCCAATATGAAAAGGGTAGCTCTCTAAAACAGAAATGAAAAGTATAGCTCTGGGAAATCAAAGTGTAAAGGATAGAGTTGGGAAACTAAAATGAAAAGGATAGCTCCGAGAAACCAAAATGAAAAAGATTGCTCTAGGACTCCAAAATAAAAAGGGTAGTTCTCTAAAAAAAAATAAATGAAAAGGATATCTCTGGGAAATCAAAATGTAAAGGATAGCTGTGGTAAAATAAAATGAATAGGATAACGTTGGGAAACAGAAATGAAAACCATAGGTCTTTGAAATCATAATGAAAAGGAGAGCTCTAAGAAATCAAAAAGAAAAGTTTTGCTCTGGGAAACTAAAATGAAAAGGATAGCTCTGGAAATCCAAAATGAAAAGGTTAGCTCTCTGAAACAAAAATGAAAATGATAGCTCTGGGAAATAAAAATGTAAAGGTTAGCTCCAGGAAACCAAAATGAAAAGGATAGAGTTGGGAAATTAAAATGAAAAGGACAGCTTTGTGAAACTAAAATGAAAAGGATAGCTCTCTGAAACAAAAATGAAAAGGATAGTTCAAGGAATCCAAAATGATAATTAAGGGTAGCTCTCTGAAATAAAAATGAAAAGTATAGATCTTTGAATTCAAAATGTAAAGGATAGCGCTGGGAAACCAAAATGAAAAGGAT